GACTTAATTTTGATTGATCTGGTTAAGTTATGTAATGAATGTGAAAGTAATAGAATTGGAATCATATTTATTCAATGAAGATAAAAGTGTTAGAAAGTATATTTGAATCTGATCTCTTCTTGCATAAGGTTTTCTACTAAATTTCAATTTGTCGCTTTTATATATTTTAGAACAAATCAATATTTCATCACATTCTTTATATTTTTATATACAACAAGAAAGGAAATCACTATTATCACCAAATCCCTAAGGACGATATCAAATTACTACATCAAAGCTTGGTCCGCTTGCCAAGTGTTACCAAAAAGTTTACCAATAATCATAAAACAAAAATATATTATCATACAAATCAACACAATACGTCAAAGGTCGACACCCTCAAACTCAGTCTAAATCGTACAATTCAGAATATATTGCTGGAGTTTATACTCTCTCGGTCTTGAATAAGTTTTCTAGCCTAAAGTTTAGTATTTATACTTTTTCATAGTTCAACACAAATTATTCACAGAGATAATAACTTTCAGCCTCATTACATATAGAATTTGAGTAACTTGCCTATAGAACTTCTTAAACTCATTCTTGCTCACAACTTTTATTATAAACTTAGTTTTAAAGGATTTCACACAAATCAAAACGCTCTCTTATACCAAAAATCTATTTTCACTGATACTTTCAAGAAAATTTTATAGATTGATATTTAAAAGAAATCATCTTATTTTTTTCTCCAATTCAATCCATATAAAATGAAATCTTGGGCTTGAGAATAACTTCCTTTACTTAAGAACTAACTTCTTCATGGGGTTCAAAGAGAAACTCCACGTCTTGACCGAGAACACTATCCAAGAACTAGAGTTTTTCTTAACATTACCGGTAGATTACTATTATAAGTAGAGAGAATAGAGAAATAAGAATGAGATTTGAATGTTAGGCTTCAAAAACTTACTTAGATTTGAGTGGAATAGACATTTAAGTTTAGATCTGAGAGAAATCTAGCGGTTTCAAAGGCTTTCTTTGGGAGGCAAGAGGGAGAGAAAAGAGAAATCAGAGAAAGAGGGGTGATTTTGTGAAAAGTAAAATTTTTCAATGCGAAAAACTTTAAATACCCTTCAAATCCACGCATTTTTGCTTGAGTGAGCAGACTCTCGCTTGAGCGAGCACATCCTCGCTTGAGCAAGCTCCTTCTCGCTTGAGCGAGCAAACCAGATAATAGTTTTTCTGATACTCTCGCCTAAGCGAGAATGGGTCTAGAGAGCACCCTATTTTTATTGTAACTCCTCGTTTGGGCAAGTTGCTGCTCACCTGAGGGAGACCACTTCTCACTTGGGTAAGAGAACAGTTAGGGCAACTCTATCCTATCTTGCTTGAGTGAGACTTATCTTGCTTAAGTGAAAATGCTCCAGAATGCCCAGTTCAGAAAATGTTTGTTTTGCTTGAGTAAGAAGTCCTACACCAAAATTCTTATTTTTCCCAAAGACAAGATAATAAAAGTGAGGGTGTTACAATTTAGATGATGGATTTCTAGCATGCACTATTTTTTTCTATTCTCTTGACTATGGATTCCCTTTTTACAAGTTTGCAACACTTACTATGCATTATATAATACCTACTCCTTTATTACTGATGACTTGAGCACCTAAAAAGACCTTATCCTAAAATTACTAATCCATTAAATAAGTGAACTTTAAGGTCTAATTCTACTAAATTGGGGATTCATGACACCAAAATTAAAATTCAAATTGAAAACCAATTAGCATGTATTTGTCACATGTCAAAGGTACATTAAATCTTAGAGACTACTCAATAAACACTTCACCGTGTCGAAGAAAACAAATTAAAAAATTACACAAAAGACACCCTAGTAGAAAGATCCAAATCAAAACAACTTAATTAAGAAAATTAATTTTCCTAAATCACACCATATTTTTCCCATTAGCTAGCCAAATGAGTCAGGGTCAGTGTTGAAGAACCATCTTTTAGTGTTACTTTCTACATCAATTTTCCAGAGCCTTTCTATATTAGTTCTCTTAGAGAGTCGATGTAGAAAGTAGATTTTAAAAATAAAGTTATTTTCTACTTCAATTCTTAACTGATGTAGAAAGTAGTGAAAAATTATGAATTTTGTTGTCTTTAATGTCATAAACTTTGAAAGAGTATAACTTTTAACATAGAATTCATATTTATACAAATTGTATATTTATTTCATATAAATTTTTAAGATCTATTTGATCCAAAAGGGGTTTGAAAAAATTAGATTTCAAAATTTCAAATTTTTCCAATTTTTTTTATTTATTATAATTTTATGTGTAAAGATTTTTACCATTTGCAAATCATTGATGCTATTAATTTATAACCACAAAGTAAAATGAAAAGTGATGGTGTTCAACTGCATAGTTGCTGGTGGAGGGTAGAGAGTAAGAAAGTACATGTCGTATAAATGAGATGAGAATGAAAGAAGAAGGAAAGAAAGGATACAAAGAGGAAAAGAATGAGGAACACAAACATATACATGAAATTACCAATGTATTCTTTCATAAATTTAACTTGAATTACTGATTTGGGTCTCTCTCCAATCAAGTTTTCCTAGAGATCTAAGGGAGATGTATAAAAGTCATGATGGAGGATATTGTTCGAAAGATGAAGTTTTTCTTGAATTTGAATGGAATAGACGTTCGAGCTCGAATTTGGAAGAGATTCAAGATTCGAAAGAGATTTCTCTGAGAAGAAAAGGTGAGAGAACAGAGAAAATGAGGAGAGAAGGTTGTTTGATGAGAATAATGGAAGTTTCAGCGTTGAGGTCCCTTAAATACCCCTTAGATCCGCGTGTTTTCGCTTGAGCGAGCCTTACTCTCGCCTGAGCGAGACCTTTCCTACCTAGGCGAGAAAACCAGAAAATTGAATTACTAAATTTTTTGTTATTCTCGCCTAAGCGAAAAACATCGTCGCCTAAGCGAGAGACATTCTCGCCTAGGTGGAAATGGGTCCAGAGAGCACCATATTTTTCCTGCGACTCCTTGTCTGGGTGAGCTCCATCTCGCCTAGGCAAGAGAAAAGTTGGCGCAACTTTATCCTATCTCACTTGAGCGAAAATAGTCTAGAAAGTTTTCTTCTAGAAAGCTCTATCTCGCTTGAGCGAAAAACTCTGCACTAAAGTTTCTATTTTCTATTCAAGGGAAACAAAATTAAGGGTGTTATAGCATGTAATTTTAGTATTGTGTAAGATACTAAAATCATGCATTTTTTCAAAGAATAAAATCTAATATTTTTTATAAAATAAATTTTTTTTAAAACTAATTACATGTTATACAAATAATATAAATAGTAAGCTTTTACTCAACATAAAATAGTTGTTGTAAAGTAGTCTTTGTAGCTTTGTAAAGGCATGATAAGAAAATGCTCTAGAATTTCAATAAAGGAAGTTTCATCATATCACTGTGCATTAATAAAGGATTTAGTTTTATCTTGCTAATAAGTTGGATCTAAATTCTCTATAGTTTTAGTCTATTCTTGTTTAAGTCAAAACTCACTTAAACAAAATACTAAAAAAAATAGTTTTCGCTTAAAACAAAGAAATTCGCTTAAATAAAAATAATTTTTTTTGCTTGAACAAGGGAGAAGGGTGAGACAAAGCAAAAGGGGAGAGGGCCGAGAGCAGAAAAGGAGAGGGAAGAGTGGAAGGGAGAAAAGGTGGGGGGAAAGAGCTAAAAGGAGAGGAGGAAAAGGGAAAGAGAGCTAGGTGTGGGGCTAAGTGAGGGATTGAGTAGAAGAAGAGGAAAAGCAAGGCTGAGTGGAGGGAGAGGGGTTAAGTGGGAGTGAGGGGAAGGAGATGAGAAAGAAGTGAGGGAGAAGGAGAAGGGGAGTTAGAAGAAGAGAAGAGGATGAGGGATTTGCTTAAACAAAAATAAAACTCCAAGTTACAGTTCTTATGCAAGCTGTAAATGATCTGTTTTTATTCAAGTTAATTATATATACATTCTATTTATATAAAAATTTAAATATATAATTATTTATAAACTATAGAATTAATTAAATTATTTAATTAATTCATAAATTAATTTAAGTATATTTTATTGTAATACAATTGATAGCAATATAACTTGCTAGTACTTTACAAAAGCAAACTTTGTCAAAAAGTGAAAAAGGTTGTATACATAATACTCCTAAAATAAATTTAAAAGAGCGTATTAGTGTTCAATTTGATGGAGTTGTAGAATTACTTATAAAAAATAATATAAAAATAAATAATTTTTTATAAATTAAAAATAATTTATCTTCTTAAAAGATAAATAAAAAAAATTTCAAATAATAAAAAAATTTAAATTATTTTTAATTTATAAAAGAAGTTTTATTAATTTTTTATACTAATTTTTTTTAAATGTTTTTCCTCAAAATTTATGCAAACTAAGCCATAAATATTGTAAACATTTAGAAAACATCATCATTCACCAACATGTATTAACTATTTTAAAAAATAACATATAGAATGATTTTTAAATTTTTATTTTAAATGTAGTTATTATTTGTATTTAAATCTAAATTAGATTTGGTTTGATTATATTATTAAAGTTAATGAAGATAAATTCACCTAACAGGCTAAAATTATACCACGTGTTAGATTTTTGCAAATTGTGCCATTTTTATGGCATAAATTTATTTTTAAATAAATTATTATTTAAACACATATCTAAATATTATTTATTAAAACTTTTTATGTACGGTACTCTAAAAACTTTTAAAGATAACACACAATTTATCTTTAAAAAATCAAATATAACATGAATTTTAAATTAACTAGGATACATATACCACTCAACTAGCTGCTAGTCAAGGATTCCTACTTTTCAAACAAAAGGTAGAACACGTGTTATTTGATTCATAATTTTAAGTTAACTAGAAGCATGCCTAAAATAGTTGGAAGAGAGAAATCCGTGAAAACAAACAAATTAAAATCCATGTGAAAGGCTTAGTTAAAATTTTAGTGCAACCTGATTTATAAGGCTAGTTTAGTTTAAGGGTCGTCCCTGGAAATTTTCCATCTGCATGCCAAATTCGTAAATAGCCCTTGTGGAGGAACCATCTTCCTTTAATGCGTTAGTAGCTGTATCTTTGAGCTTTTCAATTCTTTGGCGAATTTCGTTTCCTTCTGCACCCATCATTAGCCCTTTAATCACCTTAGAAATTTCCCCCTTTTCCGCTATGCCATTCTCATTAAATTTGGGCCTTAACGCCACTTTGAGGTCGTCTGTTAGCAAAACCGCATTCATTCCTTGTTCAGCAAACAATGGCCAAGTTACCATTGGCACTCCCATCAGAATGCTCTCAAGTATTGAATTCCAACCACAATGGGTTAAAAACCCACCAGTTGATGCGTGACTGAGGATTTGGATCTGGGGTGCCCAGGAAGGAACAATCAACCCCTGTTCTTTGATTCTTTCTAAGAACCCGTTTGGTAAGAATTGCAAAGGGTCATGATCTTTTGCAGCAACAAGGTATGCACCATCTGCTACATCATTAGGTGGTCTCAAAACCCACAAGAATTTCTGACCACTCAACTCCAACCCCAACGCTAACTCATTAAGTTGTTGCTGAGAAAGACTACCTCCACTCCCAAACGACACATAAAAAACCGAGTTGGGACTTTGCTTCTCCAACCACCTCATACATTCTAACATGTTTTTCTCGCTAATTGGTCTGGTTTGTATGATGGGTCCAACCGGATATACTGGGGCATTGTGGTTGCCACCTTTGCTACTTTCCTTCAAGGCTGTGACTGTACCTTGCTCCATTTCAAAGAAGCTGTTAACGAAGAAACCATCCGCAAGAGTGAACCTCTTGCAACGTTGAAGCATAAACTCATAAGCAACACTGGATCGCAAATCTCTTGGAAGGTCATGGCCTTGAATAGGTATGCAACCGGGAATTTGAATAGTCCTTGTGAGATGATCTAGACATTCACGTAAACCTTGGTCATGTAATGTTGGCAAACGCAATAAAAATGAAACTGCCATGGAAGAATTACAAAAGTAAACGTAAGATAAGATGTTGAACTCCTTTGTTATCTCCAATGCTTCATTGGCAAAAGGATCAGCAACCAAAGCAGCGAGTGGCGTGGTTGAACACAATGACCTCAATGCATTGCGGAAGGATGGCATGGATTGACACACTGCGTGTTGGAGTTGCACCACAGAGGGAACACCTTGTGGAAGGTCTTCATTTTTCACGGGAGTTAGGAAAGTGTAGTCAACGTTGGATGGAAGAGATTGAAGCAATGTGGTGGTGGCAGGGATTGGGGCATCAATGGTGGGGAAGATGCATGTCACATGGAATTGCTGATCAACATTAACGAGTTTCTTGCAGAACTCAATAATGGAGGCTTGGTGGCTAAACGCAGGGGGTGAAACTACTGCTATGCGAATTGTTTTGGCCATGGAAACCCCTTTTGATTCGTTCAAGCTTGTTGTTTGGGAAACATGTATGTGTCTTTGGTTTGCTATATATTCCACTTCCGTGCTGTTCATCATTAAATTAAATTTATTTAATATAATAAATTCTTAAATTAAAAGTTAATGTGGCAAGAGAACGTCCACGTGGGGACAAATTTCACCGTTGGATGGGAAATCGTGTATTATTAGATACGGCGCCGTGTAATGCGTGCAAGCTTGTGGTTTTAGGGACAGACATGTATTGCGGACAGCAATATGTTACGCTTGCATATTGTTCAGGTTAAACTAAAACCATTCAATATAATAAAATCTGAAACTAAAAGTTTACGTGAAATGAGGTAACTAAGTAGTACATATACCATCTAATGCTATTGGATATTCTTTTTATGGTCATTCTGACGATGCTAAAGTTTTAAAGCAAAAATTTCAGGTCACCGAAAGTTTATGATTTTGATAAATGAACTCTTTTATTTTATCTTACTATTGTATTTATTTAAGTCTTTTGTGTATATAAGATGATACATCTAAATAATTAGTAAAAGTCATATAATAAAATAATGGATCACAGGGATATAAGATATTTTAAAAGAAAATAAAAATGACGAAAAAATATAGAAAATTATTTATATATGTTCAAAAACTAATGATATAAAAAGCACAACTTTTTTAAATCTATGATGCAGTAAAATATGACGTTGACTATGAATAGAGAAGCTTCATCGATAAGAATAATATTATATTAATTTATAAAAGATAAAAGCGTATTTCTCTTATCATCGTTATGCCTTACACTAATACAGCAAAAAGATAATAAAGTAGAGACAGAAAATACTCATAATAGTAAAAGTTTATGCTCTTAAAATTTCATTAAGACTAAAAAACATTTGACAGTGCCTAACATAAACTCAAAAAAATATTAGATATAAATTGAAGATATTTTCATGTAAAACAAGAATTGAAAGCATGTGTAACAAGGTAAAACATTCGGAAAACTTTCTTTATGCATAATTTTTTTTTATAGACAATGTATTAGTTCGATAGGATAAATGATAATATTTAAAAAGTATTTATTTGCTTAAAGAGATAGTATATAAAAAAGTACTTAAATTTTTATTTGAGTCTAGAGCAACTTGGATAAGAGTAGTTGGATTATGAGATACCAGTGTACAAATCTCGATAATAACAAAAATTTTGATTGAAGTTAGGGAGTGGATGTAGTCCAAAATAAATATATGTGTTTATATTACTTCCCCTAATCTCTTATACGTTTTAAAAAAATTATTTTATAAACTTCTAAAATTTTTAAAAACAAATCCAAGCTCCCTTCTTTTATTTTCAACCTTTTAACTTTAGCTAATATTAACTTTTTGGAGTTGAGCAATTTCAATCACATGAAGTATTTTGTTTTTTTTTTTTTTGTTATCATAAATTAGTGTTAAAAAGGGAGTCTAAGTGATATTATTAAAAAATATTGATGTGACGTCTAATTCATGTAACTACACTAAATTAATTGTCTTGTATTTAGAAATGAATATTTCGGAAGTTAAAATTGTGACTTATCCTTATGTTAAACAAAATATTTATATTTCTAGAATGAACTTAATATTTTTTAGTGTCGATATTTTTGTTAATATTTTTGTCAATATTCATTTGTATTATACTTGTCTATTAGCAAAAGTTAAGGTGAAACTTTATCATTTTAGAGAATCATATTCATCACATGTAATTTATAGAGTGAAAAATTAAAAAAAAAATATTATAATATTTTATGACAAGAGTGATATATATCATTTACAGTAATTATAATATAATTTTTTTATATTACTAATGTAATTCATTAGATTAAAGTGATTGATTTGTTACATTATGAATGTGAAATAAAATTGTTTTATTGACATTATTTATAATGATAATTGTGTTATAATGCTTTCATTTGATTTATATTTGCAATGACAAGTTTTAATTTTAATACATAGTGGTGAAAGGTAAGGAAAAAGACTTACGTAATAAATCAATCTATAATTGTAGTTTGAACTAAAATTTGTTATTAAATAAATTTGACGTCCTCTCTGAGTTGATCGTATTATATGTAGATTATACAATTTTATAGCACCCAAGCGTTGCGCGGGTTATTACTGTTACATGTTTTGAAGTGAAAAAAAACCGCTAATAAAATGAGACATTCTTCGGTAGCCTCATTTTTCTTTTTACTGTTACATGTTTTGAAGCTTGTAGCTTCTAGTTTTACTACTGTAAACATTTAAATATGGGACAGCGTGGCCTCACCAATAAAGCATTCACTAACCTATACGAATCTTTTCAAAATAAATTGCAAATAGCGTGGATAGTCATGGGACAGAAACTTAATACAGAAAGAGGTTGTCTTGGCAAGCCTAGGAATAATACACCAGAAAATAAGACATCACTCAATAATTACTGTATCTCCAACAATGCTAATATGCGCATACAGCTCGATTCATGCACCCAGATTTATGAGGCTACTTTACTTTAATGGATGCTCAGATTGTTCTCCATACAAGTGCCAAATTTGAAAAGCGCCCTTGTAGATGACCCATCTTTTTTTAACGCATCAGCAGCTGCATCTTTGAGCTTTTCAATTCTTTGGCGAATCTCATTTCCTTCTTCACCCAGCATTAGACCATTAATCACCTTAGCAATTTCCTCTTTTTCTGCTATACCATTTTCATTAAATTTGGGCCTTAATGCCACTTTGAGGCCGTCGGTTAGCAAAACAGCATTCATTTGCTGTTCAGCAAACAATGGCCAAGTCACCATTGGCACTCCCAACACAATGCTCTCAAGCGTTGAATTCCAACCACAATGGGTTAGAAACCCACCAGTTGAAGTGTGGCTAAGGATTTGGGTCTGTGGTGCCCAAGAAGGAACAACCAAACCTTGCCCTTTTGTTCTCTCTATAAACCCATCCGGTAAGAATTGTAATGGGTCATCGTTTGCAGCAATAAGGTATGCTCCATCTGCTGAATCATTAGGTGCTCTCAAAACCCACAAGAATCTCTGGCCACTCAACTCCAATCCCAAGGCTAACTCATTGAGCTGTTGTTGGGAGAGAGTGCCTCCACTTCCAAAGGACACATACAAAATTGACTTGGGCCTTTGCTTTTCCAACCACCTTACACACTCTTGCCCATTTGTCTTACTATTCGGCCCGGTTTGTATAATAGGCCCAACCAGATATACTGAAGCATTGTTATTGTCGCCTCTGCAATATTTCTGCAGGGCTTTCACATTATCTTGCTCCATTTCAAAGAAGCTATTAACCAGAAAACCGTCAGCAAGACATAACCTCTTGCAAAGTTGAAGAATTAGCTCATAAGCAAGACTAGATCGAAAATCGTTAGGGAGGTTGTGGCTTTGAATAGGTATGCAACCTGGAATCTGAATAGCCTCTACTATGGGATCTTTGAAATTGAATATAACGGTGTCGTTTAAGGTAGGCAAATGCAGCATCAGTGACATTGTCATGGCAGAGGAAGAAAAGTATACATAAGATAAAAGGTTGAAGTCCTTTGCTATCTCCAACGCTTCATTCGCAAATGCATCAGCAACCAAAGCAGCGAGTGGCGTAGTTGAAAGCAGTGACCTCAATGCATTGCGGAAGGATGGCATGGATTGACACACTGCGTGTTGGGCTTGCACCACCGAGGGGACACCTTGTGGAAGGTCTTCATTGTTCACGGGAGTTAGGAAAGTGTAGTCAATGTTGGATGGAAGAGACTGAAGCATTGTGGTGGTGGCAGGGATTGGAGCATCAATGGTGGGGAAGATGCAAGTCACATGGAAGTGCTGATGAACATTAACGAGTTTCTTGCAGAACTCAATAATGGAGGCTTGGTGGCTAAACGCTGGGACTGAAACTACTGCTATATGTGTTGTTTTGGCCATGGCGTGGTATTGGTCCTTTCAGCTTGTGGTTTGGAGACATTAAATATATTGTTCACTGCGATATATTATTATATGTAGGTGTTGTTACCACGCGATGCACGCTTAAAGGGAAGTATTGAATGCAAGTCCTCTTTGCTTTGCTGTGTAGGGAGAAAGAGAGAGAGAGGATGTATCCAGTGATAGAAATTACTAGACAGGAAGTACGATAGAAGAAAGATCTAATGAGAAAGATCAAAATGAGGATGAATCAGTACATGAAAAAGAAAGATTAGAAAATCCGTACAATGTGATGATAATGTTGATGATGATGGAGGCTAGGACATACCACATGGAAGAGGAGTTTGTGGTAGATAAACTAAATGGAGGAACCATATAGCCACTTCGAGGACTTCAATTTATTTACTTAATTACTGCTTGCTTTTTTTTCTTAATTAAGTGAGGTGGGATTTTAGGAGTTGCATAAGCAAACTGTTCAGTCTAGCAAAGTTATTCTCTATACATAATAATCACTTAATTAAGGCTGCTTGCCTTTGTCTCTAACGAGTGCTTTATGTCCCATTTTCACTTAAGTTTATTGATATTCATTTAAGAAAGATAAAATTTGCTTAAATGAGGTAAAATTTGCTTATGCAACCACATGTTATATTAACATCTTGTTTAAACAAATTTTAGATTCACTTAAGATAATCTATATTCACATTTTAAGTGAATATTTTGCTAGCTTAAGCGACTATGTAAAAATTTGCTCAAAGATTTTGTTTCCATGCAAATTAGAGAAGTATTAGATCTAAAATTTTTATATATGAGAGGGAGAAGCATAAATATGAATCATGTAATTATACATGAATGATTATGTAACTTTTTTATAAGATTTAATAATCAAAGTTTATACTTCTTACTCTCACATATAAAAGCTCATCTTAGTATATGAATCATGAACACGAAGAGTAATTAATAGAAATCGATTTATAATAAGAAACTTAAAAAGTGATTAGTGTTGAATCATTCTCTAAGTTTCAATTACGAGAGTGTTCCTAGTGAACTACTCTCTAAACATCACTTGGAAAGTGATTATTTAATAATCACTATCTAATGTCGTTATTTCAGATAGGTTGACACGTGGAACTGCTAAGGTTTCAACTAAGGTAATCCAGGGACATGAAGAAGAGTCTACTATGCCTATACCAAATGATGAAGCAAACATTTTATGCCTAAGAGATATAATAGGTACTTATGTTGCTTGACTATTATCCTTAATAACTTTACAACTAAAGGTATGCATGTAAATTTCTGCATAATTTGTAAATGTTAAATATAAACTCTAGCAATGATTTTAAATTGCACCATCATCAAGTAAAAGGATAGGAAAAGAAACAAGTCACACTAAGAAATCCATTGCTGATCCAAGCAATAAGATAGTTCTAAAAATAATTATGGGTTTTTCATGTCCAAATCCTTATTCATACACTTTAGATTTTAAGAAAATGTTAGAGTTCTAGTAGAAAACTTAGCGTTTTAAAATTAAAATACTAAAGAGAAGTTAGGGTTTGGGATCACTCCCCTTACCTGGAAATAAGTCTCGTAGATTGAGTTTTTCTAAAGATCTAAGGGAAAGGCACAATGTCCAAGTAGAGAATATCGTCGTAAGGGTTAAGGTTTCCTTGAATATCACAAAGTACAAAACTTTTAGATCAAATAAAATGGAGCAATAAGAATGAAGTTGGAGAACCAAGCTCCAAGAAACTTACTTGGATCTAAATGGTTGAAGTTCTAAGGCCAGATTCAAAGGAATATTGAGATTTAGAGGAAGATTTCTGAGAAAATAAGATGAGAAATAAGAGAGAATAGAAGAGAGGTCGAGTTTTTTATTTTGAGACTAAGATTAGTCACTTAAGGTTTTTTATTGAAGAGTTTGTTGTAAAAAAAATTAGTTTTCACTATTTAATTGGTAACAAACTCATCAGTTAACATAAAAATTATAAATTCTTTTGAGTATTTGTTGTTATTAATATATTTGTTAAAATATACAAGATTTTAGATTCAAAAAGTTTAAGTTTATGTTGAGTAAAAAAGAATAATGCATACCCATGGATATCAAAACTCAAAATGAAAATTGTTGCACTAAATATTCAAGACTTTGAAGACAATAAAATATTCATATGTTCTTACATATTTTGAGGAAAAAGATATTAGAAGTATCCAAAAAATTCAATTTATTGTGTTATAGTTGAACAATAACTTGAAAAGATAAAAAATAAGCCTTTATGCCTATATCTATCAAATCATTCATAATGAATTTGATAAAGATAATATTATTACTGTAAAGAAAAAAAAAATATTAGCTATTACTCAAACTTATGTAATCACATAACAAGAGGTACTAAAACCCCTCAACTTTTAAGGGTACCAGAGAATGCCCTTGTTATTATTATTTTTTTCTTGAACATTTAAGTAACCCCATCTCTTTACAATGCTGAGAAATTAATTCCTCATGCATGTCAAAGTCAACTACCATGCTTGGTATTCTGTTTAACTATCTTTTATAGGTAAAAGAAGTTTACCAAAAATATGTTTATCACAACTATTTATGTTATGTATTTTTCTTATAAATTATAATACATAACGTAATCTCAGCAGTAGATATCACGTAATATTAGACCACACCACTCTATTAGGCATAGCTGATATCATTTATTCTGAACAGGGCTCACCAAAATCTATTCTTCCTCTGTGGTCTGCATTGCCAATGGGTGTAACAGTGTGTTTACAGTGTGTTTACATGGTCTCTTGTCTTACTTTTTTTACGGTGCATCCATAACATTCAAAAAATGTACAAATTAAGGGTAGTCTCGTAAAAATAATATTCATTTTTTAATGTTAAAAAGTTAAAATTATCTTAGAAGAAAAATTGAATGTCTCAAAAAGTATCATGTAGCATGACTCTACAAATTAGAACTTTAAAACACTTCATACTTTTTTTGTCTTATGCATGAATTTTTTTATATATAGTATAAAAAAATATTAAAATTATATAAATTATATATATTAGGGATGATATTCTATGTTCTAATTGATTACGCATATATCTTATAATTAAAATTATGTATAAATTATATATTCTCTCATGTTGCAATAATATTTTTTAAAAATAATTTTAACTTAATCCTATAATTATGAAAAATATACATTAAAGAATAAAGATTTAATAATATAAAATAATTTTAGAATATAATTTATTTTAAAATAACACTTTTATTGTGTAGTGAAAAAAAATATTAATAATATATATATATATATATGTATATATATATATATATATTAATAACTTAAGACTCTTAAAATTAAAATTTGAACAAATAAAAAAAGTTTAGATAACTTTTATAAAAAAAATATATGTATTTATAAAATATATAAAAATTTTATATAAGATAATAAAAAAAAGTTAAATACAAATTTAAAATGAAACTAACAAAGATGTGAGTAAAAAATAAAAATATTATAATATAAAAAATATAATTCGCACATCATTATTAGTTAATTTTAATTATAAAATATATATGTGGTGAATTATAATTGAGAGTATCTTAACTAATATTTTGTTTTTCAAATAATAGACTCTCTTTTATATTATAAAAATTAATATTAAATTATTGAATTTTTTATTATTATTATTTTTTAAATAATTATTATTATTATATCATTAATATTTTTAATTTAATAACACTATTTAATTTGAAAAATATTTATTTTTATTAATTCAATAGATTATAAGACTATCCATAATTTCAATTTAGTATTTCTCATCAATTGTATATTAAATAATAAAAAATATTGTAATTTGATTTAAGATAAAACTAATTATGAGAAAAACAAATTAATTTAGTACAAAACTAAAGTTGATTGATTGATACATATTTAATTGAAATAAAAATAAAAAAAATATTTAATATATTTTAGTTGAATAATTATATATGTATATTTATTTATATATAACACATTTTTATTTTATTTAAATATTAAATCTTCATTCAGTATTTCAAATTGAAGATATTATTCTAATCAATTATATTTTAAATTTAATTTTAACAATATAAGTTATAAATGCACACGTGTATATTATATATTAAATATTCATTTAGTTGAAAATAAACATTCACAGGCCACACCCTCATCTTCCGATGAAGTTCCTGACTATACATTTACTAAAAGGGGCCGGAGCAGCACACATGTATTCATGGTGTTGCGGCCAACCAGCAGCTATCTATGCTAGAAGTCCCCTAGAGATCCCAGAGACAATTATGATAAAAAATGTTATAGATGGAATATGATATATATCGTAGCAGATCAATTTATATTATTATGATACGTGTGTTGTAGTACATCGACAGGTGTAACTGGGACATATGTATTGTGACATATGAATTTAAATGATATGACACATGTATAATAACATACAGGTCAATATAGAAATGCACGTATGATGAGTGAATTGTGGTATGGGGCCGGATGGATGATTATATGATTGTATGTATTTGGATGTGATGAATGTAAATATGGTCTATACCTTGTTAATAATGAATTAGAATAGGATATTAAGTTATAACTCTAATTATTGGTAATGAATTTATATTAAAAGGAACTTAGTGGGGCGGGAAGTACTCACCCTTACTGATTATTTTAAGGTAATGAAAGAGAAGAAACAAAGATGGTTGATCCGTTCTAGGGTCATACTCGGCAGGGATTATGGAAAAGAAACTACTCAAATAAATTTGATTTAATGTAATAAAATCACTTATGTATTTGTAAATCTTCTAAGGAGAAATATTGTAAATTTGTAAAGTTTATTAATTCGTATTTTCATATTGTACCATTTATTCCAAATATACAAGTTTTTATCAAATTTTTTCCTAATCATGTTTTAACAATATAAGTTATAAATGCAAATTATTTATATATTAAAAAAAGGATGTTACATCAATAACCAAGTTTAATACAACTCACCTGTGAGTAGAAATGTTAACAGCTTAACATTGAGCTTGAAAGAAAAACTAGATGGGAGAATAGAGATTAGGAGACCCAAGAGTGGAGAGCCTGCGTACTGCGTTCTGGAACAATAGCTTGTAGGAGAAATGAAGTCCTGTCACTATTCTTGGAGTAAGAAAACGTGTGGACGAAGCTTATTTTTGAAGATAGAATAAAATTTGACTTTCAAACTTTCTAACAAATAATAATATAATAATATAAATATAATTTAAAAATATGTAAAAGTACATATAAAAAAAATTTGAGAAAAGATTGGAGGACCCGTGGCTCCCCCTGCATACGCAAGATCTGCCCCTGGTTCACATGTAATGTATTTGGCACCAAGTAATAAAAGGACATGATTTTCAAATTATGTACATTACTTCTTAGTTTTAAAGACATGACTTTCAAGTGAATAAAAAATTATGTTAAAAATGTAACTATTTACTTGCATCTAATCATCAACTATCAATAATCCCCATTATTAAATAAGTAATACACTTTTACTTTATGTAACATGTAAGTTTGAATGTTCTTAAGTTTTAAGTTCAAGAGGGAAAATTTATTGTTATTGTTAGATAAAAAATTTAAAGGTTTCACTGATCCTGAAGAGTATCATCATCAATTTATAACAACTTAAAGTTTTTTTTATTGAAGAATTAGTTTAAAAAAATCTTTAAGTTTTCACTATTTAATTAGTAACAAACTCACTAGTCAATACAAAAATTAAAAATTCTTGCAAGCATTGGTTGTTATGG